GTGTGTGTGTTACGGTTAAAATGCAATGTTCTTCTAACTTCCTAGGCCCCTAGCCTAATGGAGAAGGGATGCTGCTGCTGCGCCTGACTGGAGGAACGACTGGTCGACGGGGAGGCGGCCTTGGCCGAGCTTACACCTCCTCCGTGGTTGTGATGCTGGTGGGGCAGCGAGCCAGTGTTGAAGGAGACGGCCTTCTGTCCAGAAGAACTGGAGCTAGAGGCATTGCCGTTCAGCGTTCCAAAGTACTTGTTCTGCGCCCGGCGCAGCTTCACACAGTCAGGGCACATCTTGCAGCGAAAGTGCTCCTCGCAGTACGGCTCGCCCTCAAACTCAAAGTAGTTGCCGTTCTTCAGGGGGCAGGAGCAGTCCTGGAGAAAGTAAACATGATTAGGATTTGTTAAAGTAAACATCATAAGGTTATCACACTAAGCACGTACCCTGCAGACGAAGCAGTCAGTGTGGTACTTGGAGTTGAGCGCCGTGACGCAGATCTTGTCGACGATCGGTTTGTTGCAGCCGCGACAGTAGGGGGCAAAGAGCTCAATGTAACAGGGCCGACAGTAGCCCTTGCCCTCGTGCTCGTGGTAGCCCTCCGGGTCGTCGGCCATGATCTTGTTGCAGTGCTGGCAGGTGAAGTGCTCCGGGTGCCAGGTCTTGCCCAGGGCGGTCAGGCATTTCTGGTGGGTGGAAGGAAAAGGTTTAATAGTTAATTTCATTTTCATACTGTACAAACGGCATAACTGCTTACCTCAATGATGGGCGCCTCACAGGCGGCGCACTTGGGACTGAAGAGTGCGTGGTAGTCTGCCTCGCAGTACGGCAGGCCGTCCTTCTCGCGGAAGGAGTTCAGGTCGAGCGGCTGGTTGCACTGCACACAGGCGAAGCACTCCGGATGCCAGGTCTTTCCGAGCGCGGAAACGACTTTCTGTTGAGGGAGGGAGAAAACAGTGTTAGTAAACTCTGTACAAGCTTGGTTGGATTTTAAAGAGAGTCGTACATCCGTGATGGGCTTCTTGCAGGCGAAGCACTTGGGGAGGAACATCTCCTGAAAGTGGTGGCGACAGTAGGGCTTGCCGTCGTGCGTCTCAAAGTTGTTCGGGTCGAGGACGCGGTCGCAGCGAGGGTGCGAGCAGACGAAGCAGTGGGGGTGCCACTCCTTGCCCAGCGCAAAGACGGGCTGAAAATGAAACATTAAAAAGATTAAAATGATGATCAAGTTTTAGAAATTTTTTTCCAAGTACCTTCTCCTTAATTGGGAGATTGCAGGCACAGCACTTGGGGCTAAAGAGTCGGTGGTAGTCATCAAGGCAGTACGGCTTGCCGTTCTTCTCCATAAAGGCATCGGGAGAGAGGGGAATCTTGCACTGGGTGCACTTGAAGCACTCGGGGTGCCATTCCTGGCCCATGGCTCGCAGTGGCTAGAAGTAAACAAGGGAGATAAAGTTATCAAGAGAACATAAGGAGTGATAAGCAGCAGTTCACTTACCCGTCCCTTGATGGGCTTCAGACAGGCGTAGCACTTGGGACTGAAGAGGTCGTAGTAGTCCTTCTCGCAGTACGGCTTGCCGTTCTTCTCGAAGAAGTTGTCCGGCGACAGGGGGATGTGGCACTTGGTGCAGTTGAAGCACTCAGGGTGCCAGTCCTTGCCCATCGCTCGCAGTGGCTAGAAGGAGAAAAAAAGATTTGTTAGTTTTGTCTGTAAAAAGATCACCGAGCTTGTTGCTAAAACTAATGCTGATAAGGCTAATCCCTGGGGCTCTTCCGCACACGTACAGTTCCCTTGATGGGCTTGATGCAGCCGGCGCACTTCGGACTGAAGAGGTTGTGGTAGTCCTTCTCGCAGTACGGCAGGCCGTTCTTCTCGTAGAAGTTCTCCGGGTCGAGGGGAATCTTGCACTGGGTGCACTTGAAGCAGTTCGGGTGCCAGTCCTTGCCCATCGCGCGAATGTNGTGAAAAAGTTGATGTTAGTTTTGTCTGTAAAAAAATCACCGGGTTTGTAGCTAAAACTAATGATGAGGATAATCTCTGGATCTGTAGTTCTTCACACGTACAGTTCCCTTGATGGGCTTGATGCAGCCGGCGCACTTCGGACTGAAGAGGTTGTGGTAGTCCTTCTCGCAGTACGGCAGGCCGTTCTTCTCGTAGAAGTTCTCCGGGTCGAGGGGAATCTTGCACTGGGTGCACTTGAAGCAGTTCGGGTGCCAGTCCTTGCCCATCGCGCGAATGTAGTTGTTCTGAAGAGAAGAGGGAAAGATAGGAGGAAAAGGTGAGAAGGGTTTGGGAAACAGCACACTATTTGGGGCAAATTGCACTAAACACTGGTCAGTAAGCAGTCAGTAGTCAAGCAATCAATAGTGTCAGTGCGCAAAAATCTAAAGTGTGAGTAGTTTTGAAGCAGAAGATCAAGCTTTGAAGCTGAAGTTGATTGTTTACGTCTTTAATCGGCTCCTTGCAGCCGGCACACTTCGGACTGAACAGCTTGTGGTAGTCATCTTCGCAATAGGGCAGCCCGTTCTTCTCGTAGAAGTTGTACGGATTGAGGGGCTTCGTACACTCGGTGCACTTGAAGCACTTCGGGTGGTAGTTGTGGCCCATCGCCGTGATGTAGTCGTTCTGCGAGAGGTGTGTGGGTGATTAGTAGGGGTTAGTTAGGAAAGAGAGAAAGGATAAAAAATAGCTGAAGAAAAGTTACATCTCTAATGGGCTCCTTGCACTCGTAGCACTTTGGACTGAACAGCTTGTGGTAGTCGTCCTCACAGTACGGCAGCCCATTCTTCTCGTAGAAATTGTACGGGCTCAACGGCTTGGCACACTCAGTGCACTTGAAGCACTTCGGGTGGTAGTCGTGACCCATGGCAGTGATAAAGTCATTCTAGAGTTAGATTGTTAGTGGAAAGAGGTTAATAGAGGGAAATGATAGAGAGAAAGTGCTAAATTACATCCTTGATGGGCTCCTTGCAGGCGAAGCACTTCGGACTGAAGAGTCGGTGGTAGTCATCCTCGCAGTACGGCTTGCCGTTCTTCTCGTAGAAGTTGTACGGACTGAGCGGCTTGGCACATTCGGTGCAGGTGAAGCACTGCGGGTGGTAGTTCTGGCCCATTGCTGTGATGAAGTCGTCCTGAAAGATGTTAGTGGAAAGAATGAAAGAGAAAGAATTAGAAAAGTTAAGGGTTTAAAAGATGAGAGAGCAAAAGAGATGAAACACTGAGACAAGACAGAGAAAAGAAAGTGAAAATCAGGCAAAAGAAAAGTAAAGTCATTCATGAAAAGAAAGTGAAAAGAAAAAGCAAATCAAAGACATGGACAGAAAGAAACAGAAGAATCAAATTAGAAGGGCGCGCAACACACAAGTGAGGATGATGATAACGAAGATGATGTTTTTCCCCGAAGCCACAAACAGAAGCAGAAGGTCGTGCAGAAAGCAGTGTATGATATAAGCACTATGATATGATCTTCTCAGGAGATGGTCTTCTTGGTGGTGTCCGGCACTACTCGGTCACCGGTGCTCTACTTACAGTATCTATTGGCAGTCGACAGGCAAAGCAAGGTGGGCCGGCGGGCTTCGGAGGCGGTGGCAGGGGGGCCTCCAGGGGCTTCAACAGCGAGTCAATGTCGATCAGTGGCTCAAAGACTGGTGGTGGGAGAGGAGGTGCCGCCTGCTGCAGGGGCGCCGAATAGGCTGCCACAGGTGGCTGACGATTAAAGGCTGCATCGCACTCAGGGTGCCAAGGGAGGCCCTTGTTGTACACTGGCAGTGTCTGCCAAGATTGCCGAAATTATTTAGTAGAAGGAGTTCAGTGGAAGGAGAAGGAGTTAGTTTAGAAGGAGTTAGAAAAGAGGGTTAGAAAAGGGAAAAAGGAGGTTAACGAGATGAAGATGGATTCTTGATTGAAGACAGTTTCAGGAATTGCTTTCCGGTAATGACCACACTTCTTCTTCTTCTTCCCAAACAAAACACTCATCGATTGCTGACTTACTACCACTTACTACCTTAAATCTAATCCTCAAAGGACTTACATCGACAATGGGTCCCTTGCAGC